GGATAGAGAGGCGAACGTGAAGAGAGATACCAAGTGTCAGAAGGGTAGCCATGTTAGTCTGTATCCACAAAAACTACAAGGAGTCCGGTGGCACCTTAAAGACTAACAGATTTATTTGGGCATAAGCTATTGTGGGTAAAAAACCATGATAGGGTGGGTTTTTTACCCACAAAAGCTTATGCCCAAATAAATCTGTTAGTCTATGAAGAGAGATGTCTGCCTAGAAAATGCTTCAAGAAAATCTATCTGCCCTAAGCATTCTGTGCATTGAAAGTGACAAATGCCATAGCTCATCATTTGAGGACATTATCAATGACTTTGCTCTCCAAAAATCATAAAAGAAAATGTAAATTTCAGTTTTAAAATTGATGTGATGTGCAAACAGACATACTGCAGGTTGTACTGCTTCCATTAAGTAAGCTGGTCTGTGTAACTGTAACTGCTTTTGTGTTGCTGTAGATATAAAGTTTTCATATCTACTAAGAAATAATAGATGAAAATATATTAATTTGAAACTATTTTATAATGCAAACAGCCATATTGCAAGATGTGTTTTAGTTAGATTATTATTCTATTTTTACAACTTCACCTTTGTATATATGCAAATATAAAGCTTTCATGTTTATATATTCAATGTCCTTTCTGTGAAAATAATACATTACTTTTTTTTATTCTATGGGACCTCTTACACTTGACATAGTTTAGGGCCTCAGAATGTCATAATCCAGCCCTGCTTGTCCACATACTTGTTGACTCCCTCAAAAAATTTTAATAGATTGGCAAAACATGATTTCCCTTTACAAAAACCATGTTGACTCTTCTCCAACAAATCATGTTCATCCATGTGTCTGTTCTTTACTATAGTTTCAACCAATTTGCCTGGCACTGAAGTTAGTCTTACTGGCCTGTAATTGTCAGAGTCGCCTCTGGAGCCTTTGTAAAAAATTGACAGGTTTCAGAGTAACAGCTGTGTTAGTCTGTATTCGTAAAAAGAAAAGGAGTACTTGTGGCACCTTAGAGACTAACCAATTTATTTGAGCATAAGCTTTCGTGAGCTACAGCTCACTGTAGCTCACGAAAGCTTATGCTCAAATAAATTGGTTAGTCTCTAAGGTGCCACAAGTACTCCTTTTCTTTTTGTAAAAAATTGGTGTCACAGTAGCTATCCTCCAGTCATTTGGTACAGAAGCTGATTTAAATGATAGGTTACATACCACAGTTAGCAGTTCTACAATTTCACATTTGAGTTCCTTCAGAACTCTTGGATGATACCATCTGCGCCTGGTGAGTTATTACTGTTTAATTTATCAATTTGTTCCAAAACCTCCTCTAATCTGGGAAAGAATGACTCAGGTTTGGGAATCTCCCTCACATCCTCAGCTGTGAAGACTGATGCAAAGAATTCATTTAGTTTCTCCGCAATGGCCTTATTGTTCTTGAGTGCTCCTTTAGCATCTCATTTGTCCAGTGGCGATGTACAGCGATAGAGTGGGGACCGGCTCATAGTGAATTCCAAACCCCCTCAACAGTACAGGGGAAGCAAAGTCCTCAAATGCCTCTGTGCATCCCAAAGGTTAGATTTCATTTCGGGTTACACCGAAACCTCTGCTTAGTGTGAAACTGTTCAGTGGAAAACCCCCACACCATACCTGCCTTGAGAGGGTTCACTATATGTGCACCTGATACAAGTCAAAACGTGGGATTGACTTTCCTCTCTGCCTGTTTAGCTTTTGGCATGCGTAACTGTACTCTGGCAGGCAGGGTGAATTTAATTCTCCAAGGTTGTTAAACAGATCATTTCCCTCTTTAAAGAAAGGGAGGGTTGGGGGCACTCAATCAACCAGCAGCCAGCCCTGCCCATGCAGAGTCCCAACTTTCTCCTTCCCCACTCCCAGGTTCTCCGTGACGTTAGACATGTGGAGCTGGATCTGTATGAAAGCACACACACATCTGGCAGTTCCTTCAGTTAATTGGGCAATTATTCATCCTGCTCTTGCTGGAAGCAGCTTGCCATTACTGGGCCAAAACCAACAACAACAGAGTGTGGGTTTTCTCCTCCCCCTGGCTTCCGTCCTCTTAAAATATGTAGGCATGGAATTGAGGGGCCAGGGGGGTGAGGAGAAAGAGGAGGGGCCCACTTCAGGCTGCTGATCATGGTGACTGAGACAAATATCTTTTTCAGCATGACAGACAAGTATCTCCGGCAGCTGAAGAACACAGGCATGGGTTTCCCCTGTGGCATGCAGGGGAAGGAGGCAAAGCCATGGAATGCCAGGAGAATCAAAGTCAATTTGTTTGGGGTTTTATGGGGCAACTTGGCAGGCTACAGCATTGGGGAAGGCTGGGTAGGCCCAACCGGGCTGTGTAACATTGCCATATATAAGTTGCCATGATTGCCCATAGTCCACCTGAGCAAGAGTGTGAAATCCCTCATCCACCTTCTTCACCCCTGGGTCCCCCTCTTTCTCCATGCCTAGCTTCCCCCATCCTAGTTTGGTGACATGATCCTCTAGACAGAAGGACCTCCTCTGAAGCAGGGATTCATGGTGCTTTAGAGTTCACCCCAGTTCTTGTTGATATAAGCTGAAACACTTTCTTTGAATTTTGGTTGTTGGGTTTAGTATGTGGGTGTCGGGTGGTGTTGGTGGCCTTAAACTCTATGACTGCATGATATCGTGGTTTTATCTACCTCTCTTCTCATCTCAAAACTCTCATGTCCTGGGGCACTCCACCATTGCATATTGTTGGGATGGAGTCATGTCTGGAGGCCATTTGCACTGGAACAGAGAGTGATTGCTCATTTGAGTGCTCTGCCCTTTCCCTGATTGCTGCGTAGGCTTACAGGAAACTTGATCTTTTCCACAAAACCCCCACTGGTTTCACCCACTGGTAGAAAAACTGGCCTCCTCCTCTAGAATTGACCCTACCTTTGCTGGATTTCAATTCTGCACCTAACATGTCTGTTTCCCCCTTTGATTGAAAACAGATCTCTGTTGCTCTAAGATATTGTGCAAAACCATGGAAGAGTCTGAAGTGTAAGCAGCATCAGTGTAATTAAAGACAGTGTAATTGCTTCCAAGCAAGCTGCTTCAAATCCAGAATTGGAGGTGAATGAGTGGAGGGTTCTACTTTTTCCTTCATTCCTTGCCTCCTTCTCTCTTTCCTGATTCAGCTCTTCTCTTCAAGAATCATGGTGTAATTTACTCAAGGTTTCTTTTAGACTAATGAGAATCAGACAGACAGTTTGCACTGTTCAAAGATACAACAAAGGATTTATGTAGCCAGGCAGACAGATTTCACAATGATAACACAACCAGCAGGGTTGTTGAAGGGCCTTTGAACAGGTAATCTAATGCAAACAGTTGATCAGGGCACCTGAAACAGAATCGGTTACACATTACTGATTAGTGGCTTCCAGCCAGCAACAGATCAATGACTGCTATTTTCTTAAAAAGAAAAGGAGGACTTGTGGCACCTTAGAGACTAACCAGTTTATTTGAGCATAAGCTTTCGTGAGCTACAGCTCACTTCATCGGATGCATACTGTGGAAATGCATCCGATGAAGTGAGCTGTAGCTCACGAAAGCTTATGCTCAAATAAATTGGTTAGTCTCTAAGGTGCCACAAGTCCTCCTTTTCTTTCTGCGGATACAGACTAACACGGCGGCTACTCTGAAACCTGCTATTTTCTTGTAGGTTGCATGTAGTAGGGTAGCACGTGTGAATTGCTGAGTGAGACAGTGGCCGTCTTGTGCTTCACAGCACCTGGCACAGCATTTCCAAGAAAATTTCTGGAAGTGAAGGGTGGTGATGGAGCAGACTACGTTCTGGGGGACACTGGCACTGGGCTATCCCACCCCTCTGGGTTTCCCTTTATGTGCTGTGCTGAGAGCCAAAAACTCCCATCGATTTCCCTGGAAGTTGAGGGCACTCAACACTGTGCAGAACTGGGCTGTCAAGCAGGCAGTACAGTTCAAGGGTTGGTGAAATGGGCTAGCCCACATTTTGAAAGGTGGTCAAAGTGCTGAGCATTCAGCAGCTCATAAAGATCAGGCCAGTCACTTGAGTTTCTCCAATTTGTAAAGTGTGTTGGGGTAAAAGTACTCCTACAAAGGCAAGCAATTGAGTAGTTAAATCATGTTTATACAGTGCTTGATGGTGAAAAGTTCTATTACTACCTAAGATACATATACGGCCCCCAGTAATGTAGTGTTTGAGTACCTTACAACACCCCTTTGAGCAGGGCTGGCCTTACCATGAGGCGAACTCTTACCATGAGGCGAACTCGGCCGCCTCAGGTGCCAGACTGTGGGGGAGGGGGGCGCCACACTGTGGCAGCTCAGACAATGACATGGGGAAATGAAATGCTTTCAAGGTACAATGCTGCTTTGCACGGCAGCCTCCATCTCAAGATCTCCAAGTGCTTCACACACATTAATACATTCAGCCTCACAACCACCCCAGAGAGGAAGGGAAGGATCCTTATCCCTGCTTCACAGATGGGAAAACAAAGGCACAGAGAGGGTGAAGGGGTTTGGAATATAATCCAGGTTTCCTGACTTCTAGTTCTTTACTCTCACCTCTAGGGCCTGGACCAAGCTTCCTGCCATAAACTCACCTTCCATGGGTAGAAACTGAAGGGACTTACAGACTTGAGAGCAGTGAGTCTGTTTCAAGTTTATCAGCCACAACGGCACAAAGACCAGAACAGGGCTGGCCTTACTATGAGGCGAACTGAGGCGGCCGCCTCAGGTGCCAGACTGGGGAGGGGGGGCACCACTAGGACCCAGAGTGTAGAAAATTGTGTCTCCTGCTGGTGCATACGTATTCTCTCTGCTCTAGATGCACAGAGATGGTGGAGTGCTGTGCTGGAGGAAGGAGGGCACAAGAGACATAACAGGTAGGCAGGAGAAAAGGTGAGAGGGAATAACAGAAAGCAGCAGGAGCTGCAGGGAGAGAGAGGAGGGGAAGCCTCTTATGTACCTTTCTTCCACCCCCAGGAGCATGGACTGATTAACACCAGCTTCATAGGGAGCTTCCTGTTTCCTGCTGCTTCCCTGAACCCACTTGAGAAGAACAAGCTGTCATGTGCGATATTGATGCGAGTGATTTAGGTGAGGAACCGAAAGCCCTTTCAAGATACATTTCAGCAGGATCAACTCCAAAGGCTGTTCTGGAATATATGAACACAAATAAGATGACCACCCTCTTTCCAAATGCTTTTGTTGCTCTGCGCATACTTCTAACACTTCTTGTAACAATTGCCAGTGGAGAACGCAGCTTCTCCAAGCTGAAGTTAATAAAAACACATCTACACTCCATAATGACACAGGAGAGGCTGGTCGGCCTTGCAACCATCTCAGTAGAGCATGAGCTGGCCCAGGCTGTGGTCCTTCAGGAAGCAGTTCAAATCTTTGCAACCAAGAAGGCGCGGAAAGCACCACTTTGATTATTCAAACAGATAAAAACGCAAGTGTTTACTATGCAGACTAGAAAAGTTACATTTGCTGTTCCGGTGTTTGAAAGTTAAGTGTTACTTAAAATTTTTGAATAAGGCATTTTAAGATGTTCTTCTTTATTAGGGTAGGTAGCAGAGCAGTACCATGAAAGGAATAGAACAGGAAGAAGGCAGAATTGAGATCTTTCAAAGTTTTGGCCCAAGCGAGGGGGCATGGGGGCGTCATTTGAGCTCCCCGCCTCAGGCGCCAAAATGTTGTGGGCCAGCCCTGCCTGTGAGATAGGGAAGTATTATTCCTAGTTTTACCAATGTGGGAGAACTGAGGTAAAGAGAGACAAAACAAAGTGATTTTATCAAGATCAAACACAGGGATAAGAGACCCACAGCAGGGCCCCTGTTGGCTTGCATCAGCTGACTTGGGCTAAAAATGGCTGTGTAGAGGTTTGGGCTCAAGCGCCACCCTGAGCTCTGAGGCTCTCCACTCTCCCAGGGTACCAGAGCTCATGCTCTAGCCACTACATAGTCACTTTTCAGCCTCAGAGCCTGAGTCTTGTATACCCAAGTCAGATGACTTGCACCAGCCATGGCTTTTTTTTTTTTTTAATCTCTCTGTAGGCAGAGCTTCAGAGAGCAGGGAATTGAGCCTTGGACTCCAAAATTTCAGACTAGCACCCTAACCACTTGACCATCCTTCTTCTTTGATAACTACTGTTAATTGCACCCATTGGAGATTTAATAAAGGAAAGCAACAGTCACTGATGACTGAGTTAAAATGGAAAGAAAGCAATCCAGAGTAAAAGTCTTCATCTAGTGTCAGCCTGCAGAAATGGGAGCAATATGAGATGAGTTCACTTCAGAATTAGAAGACCTAGTTAGAAAGCCCAGGTGACAAAGCCTAAAAGCAAAACTTGTCTCATCTGTTTTTCAGCAGTTAATTCATTAGCAAGAGGCTAACTGGAGAAGTCACCCAAACAGTAGGAGATGAAGATGAAAAGCCTCAGAAAATGTGGACAAAGCCAGGAGAACAAATGAAAACACAAGTGGCCTGAGGCTTAATGAGGAGTGGTTCTGAGCTGGATCTACCATTCGGTTCTGAGGGGATGATTAGACCCACAAATCACTTAGAGAGAACAATAAGAAACGCAGGATTTGAATCTGGAAGACGTACAACCTGGGCATTTAAATTAAACAACTGAGAACCAGGCCTGGCAGGGTGCCTCCAGCTCTCACTGAAGTCATTGGACAGACTCCCATTGCCATCAATGAGAGCTGAATTGGGACCCTTGCGAAGATGTATTGAACACAGACAAACCCAACAAAATAAAACCAGATGATGCAGCCCACTCAGCACAACCACAGGGAGCTTGTTACGAAACCTTTTAACAAGGCAGTTACTGTGAAATAGCCATCCCCAACCCAGACTAAAAAGGCTCAAGGGGAGGACAGAGACATGGGAGACGATCCAGGGTGTAGAGCACTTTCAAGACAGAGGGAAACAATATAGGGTGGGAATTGTTTGTACTACAGGGATCCGATTAGTCGTGTTGCTTAATGCATTGCTTAAAGGGGCTCAGATCATAGAATCATAGAATATCAGGGTTGGAAGGGACCTCAGGAGGTCATCTAGTCCAACCCTCTGTTCAAAGCAGGACCAATCCCCAACTAAATCATCCCAGCTAGGGCTTTGTCAAGCCTGACCTTAAAACCCTCTAAGGTTTGTCAATTTAACAAAGAAATTGATATGTATCAGGCTTGTTATGCCAAGGGGAGCCTCTGACACACTTCAAACCAAACACATTGCTTCACCACCCTCCTAGTGAAAAAGTTTTTCCTAATATCCAACTTAAACCTCCCGCACTGCCACTTGAGACCATTACTCCTCGTTCTGTCATCTGGTACCACTGAGAATGGGTTACCTAGGGTTGTGTCTCGGACCGGAGATATTGGCTAGTGTCATTTGGTTGCCCAATCCAAAGAGCAGCTTACATGCCAGTGGCTGTGTGTGAACAGCCCAGGAGTGGGGGTTCTCACAGTGGAGCAGGGTAAGGCTGGCTCCCAGAGTCAAGGACTGGAATGACCTAGCAGATCACCGATCCAGGTAACACCAGGGGAGAACATCACAGTAGGTTCTTTGGAAAGGTAGAAAGAATAGGATTGGCTGAACAAGCCCATGCTCTAGAAGTAGGAATTTCTCTTTGCCCTCACTGCCCAAATAACTTGGCATTACCATTTGTCTGTCAGCTGGGGGCTCTGGGCCGTACCATAATGCAAATAACAGTAACAATGAATAATGGCAGGCTAGTGAGAGGGGAAAATGGTCGGTCTGATTTTCCAAGTTACTCATACTCATAGACTTTAAGATCAGAAGGGACCATTGTGATCATCTAGTCTGACCTCCTGCACATTGCAGACCACAGAAGCTTGACAACCCACTCCTGCAATAGACCCATATCCTCTGGCTGAGTTACTGACAGACACACCTCTGCAGAGATGTACTATGAACTCTGTCTTCATGCTAGCTATGTTCATTGACTGGTACATCCTGGTTCTAATCATTCTGGAAATACCACAAGAACAGCTTCTCTCATAGTATTTTGTTAAGGAATAGATAAAACTCTTGTATTTGGATTGGATAATAATTAACAGAAGTGGTCAGGTACCAGACAAATATTGATTGCACTGGAGGGGGAGAAAAGTTGCTTCTCTAATAAATTATTCTGGAAAATGGCAACATTTGAAAAATATCTTCAATAAACAGTATTCAACCACGTCTGATATTCAAGAATTCTGTCACTCAAGATATTTTTGGACCTGGACACACACCCATCCCTTGAACTCCCGTCCCTATTATAAATAATATCCAGATGAAAACATCTACCTCTCCTTGGGCCTGTATGAAATTAGTCATCTTTTTTTGAAGCCAAATTTTCTCTACCCAATCACTCTAAGGATCAGGGAGTCTGGGCTGGCCACAGACCCATTTCTACAAATTCTGTAATTGTTAGAAAGGCCAGCATTGAAATCCCTAATTGCTATCTCTACCCCCTTAGAGTAAGGGGAGATCACTGAAAGACCTGCTAGAGAACTTAACCTTCACGCCTTATCCCCTGAAACCCAGAGAAGGAAGCTTGTGGGGGCAGTAGGGTAGCTGCTAAGGCATTCTTTACTCCCCTCAGGCTGTTGAGCACTCTCTGTTCTAGCTGGAGTTGATGGAAACTGTGGGTGTTCCACAGCTGTGGCAATCATGCCCCTGTTCTACCATCTTGGAGGAAGAAGAGAGAAAGAGCCAAGGAGGAGTGAAAAGAGGAGCAGTGGAGACTCCAGCCCTATGGAAAGGGTATTTCTCGTCAGTTACAGATAGAGACCTGGATTCTCATCCCAAACTAGTGTAACTGCATTGACTTCAGAGGAGCTACTTCTGCTTTACAGTTCTGGGAAAGCAGAGTCATGCCCAGAGAGTCTTGCCTCCAGGGAATTCTGACTTGGGCATCCGTGCTGTGGCAGGAAAGAGAGGATAGGTCCAAATAACCTGGTTTAAGGCAGGAAAACTACAGCCAAACTTAATGGAAAGACAGCCAGGAGGTGGAGATAGAAGAGGGCCTGTTTCTTTTGCTGTTAAGATGCTCCCAGATGGAATTTACTTCTTAGACATTTTGTATGGGGGATTATCCCCCACCCAGTGCCCACACTAGCCTGGGATTCAGCTCTACCTTCATTTAATTCTGGATCAGCTAGAGTAGTAGTGGCCAGCCTGCCAGCCAACAGCTCCCACCCAGCAAGAGGGCTGTGCTGGTGAAAATTTCCCAAAGCCCTGATCTCCATTGGTGTAAATAGGCACAGCTCATTGACTTCAGTGGGGCTAAGATTTCAATCTGGGCATGTTGGGGTGTGAGAAGCTGGGAAAAAAGGGGCCCCCTCCTTTGAAAAACATGTTTTTAAAGATTTCAGGCTATAACAGAGATGTTCTAGAAATACAGGGTAGCCACAGTGATGGGTGGGGGGTGAGAGCAATGGATGATCCTTGAGCACCTATATTGCACACACTAAACTGCAGAGATCCCCTATAGAATTGTTTGCATGCCATTGCTCCATGCATTTCAGGGCAGATGGTCCTGCTTTATCATTCCACCTGCTTTGCATTTTTGACTCTGGCCTTGTTTGCTTTCAGTGGTGTTTCAGACTGTGCCTTCTTTCTACAGAGATGCTGGAAATGAGCTCACCTCCCAAGGCAAACAGCTTCAGGGGGCGTGTGGCTGTGGGGAGGAGAGGTCAGTGTGGAGACTCTCTCCTCCCCCAGAAAAGTCTGTGGAGAAATGGTGCATCTTGGCAGTTAATGGTAAAGAAACACAGCATGGGGAGGAACGCAGCCTCTAAGGGTGACTCATAACTCTCAGCACCACCCTCCTAGACTATTCAGTAGCACAGCTGTAAACAACTTCTTAGAGTGAGCCAGCATCTGGGATAATTAGCTCCCCTAAATCCTGGTACCCACTCTTCCCTCATTCAGAGAGTGCTGTCTAAGGGGGCAGGTTATTGCTTATTCACGAGCAGCACTGATTTTCCTCTCCCACCCTCTCTGCTTAGCATTGCTCCTGCCTTGACATCTAGATTCCATCCCCCATCCCTCCACATCCACTGACATTCCCTACCCTTGGAATCAATTTCAGTATATTTATTGGCCTGACAGCGTGAAGCGGTAAATGTTGCCAAAGTCAATGCATCAAGTGTCTGTCTAGGACAGGACTGGGCTGCCTACTCTGTGTCTCCTGAGCTCCCAAGTCTATTTACTTTTCTCTCACCTGGTATTAGAAAAACATTAAACTTTTATTAATTTCCCCCTCTTCCCATTAGCAGATGAAGTGCAGGAATGGACAAATGAGTCACTTTAAAGCAGATTGAGATTTCTTACGATTTTGCTATTAATACTTTAAGAAAGCTGGGGAAAAGGACCAGGAAATTGTTACAGTGAAACCTGTTTTAAAGGACCTGAAAATTATCAGCTTTTTTGTTATTAAGGGCTGAGGGCATTGTATGGATTATGTGTGCGTATTCTTCTGGCTGGTTTCTTTAGACAAAAACTTGCCTCTGTTGTATAGGTTTCACTGTATTTGGTCTGTCAGTTTTTTGAGAGATTAGTAATCTCTTCCTGGGTTTGATGATAGTGTCATAAATTAGAATCAGACACATTTTCTGAGATACAAAAGCAGAGGTGGACACGGCCAACTCCATAATGACTAAGAGCATTGCAGAGGTCTTGAGAAAAATGCTTTGCACTTCTTGGGCTGGATCCTTTGCATGTGCAAATTGGTGTTGTGGTATTGAAGTTAGTGGATTAGTCCTGATTTACAGTAGCTGTGGATCTGGCCCAAGACTATAGAGTCTGGCATGTGTGGCTCTCAAAGGATTTTCCAAAGCAGGGTATTGTCATTGCAGATGGGGAAACAGAGGCACAGAGATTTACACCAGTGGGAGGGCACAATTTATACACTTTGGGACAGGGAAAATGTCTTATTCTAGTGTCCCAATTCTATTACCTGGGTGCTCCTCCCACAATGGGAATTGCACCCAGGTAGGTGAGAACATGTATGTTTATATAGTGCCCTTTATGGTGCACATATATGGTTTGTAATAATAATGACAATAATTCCATGGACGTGCTCCTCAATCCTATTTGCTGTAAATCCAAAAATAGGAGTGAGGAAAGGAGTCAGGATCCTCAGGTGGTGTCAACGGGCATTGTCACTGGAGCTATGCTGATTTACCCCAGTTGAGCAGTTGACCCAGGAAAACAGTGTTTGGTGCAGAAACAAACAAATGCACAACATCTGTGACGAATAATCCAAAGCATCCACATCTGTTATCGCCCACACTCGTAAGACTTATCCCACCTGGATTTCTCACATCAGTGCTTTCAAAGCCAGCGCAGTCGATACACACAAACTGAGATTCAACATTGCTGACACTGAATAAAAGACTTGAAAGCCTCTGTCTGGGTAGTGACCCACTCTTTCCTCATAAATCACCAAGAAGCATAAAAAAGCCATTTTGCGAAAGAGTGGGAAATGAAACTGTGAGTAACAACTTACGGGGACGGCCAGAGGGTCACCTCCTTGACAGTCACCTCCAGACAGTAACCCTAAGCTATATGCAGCAGAATTTCTCAGTACTGATCAGGGTCCCTGCTCATGCTCAGCTCTCCACCCAAAGCAAGCCTCTGGGCTCCTGCAGCCGCTGTTACCAAGGCCCTAATGACCTACCCCCCACTCCCTCCTCCGCTCCCTCCCCAGCAGTCTTGCCATACCCAGTGTTCAAAAATCATGACATACAAAAATAATACACTTTCGTCTTCATTTATTTGCCCTGTGGCTTTTGAGTCTTTAGGGTGCACTCATGTGACATTTACAAGCTTTCTTTGCAGCTTTGAAAGCTAGAAACTTACTTTTTTAGTGAAAGCTGAAATTCTCCTGCAATCACGTAAATGTAGGAGCTGCGGCTTCAAGAAAAATATCAAAAATTGCAAGAGTTGGCAACACTGTGAACATATCTTGTAGGTGTGATTTCTCTGTGAAGTCACCTACCAGCTGAGTGCTCCACTCTCCTAGCACCCATTTTCTTGCACTGCTCCCATGCCTTTCGGAGGACAGGGCTACGCCTGAGTAACAGTCAGGGGAATTAGTGACATTTCTGTTATTTTATTGGTTCTGTTGGCAACCTGCTTTAGGAACTCTGGTGCTCTGGCTCTCAGTGATACCAACAGATGTGTGTACGCAAAGGTACATGAACACTGTCCAACACATATGCACACTCCCCTACCCCCACACATGCACTACACATACACACACGCTCCTGCCCCCATGCATGCACTATGCATGTGCACACATCCCTACCCCCAGGCATGCACTAAACGTGTGCACACCCACCCACATGCATGCTCTATACCCATCTATAAGCATGCACTAGATGCCCATGTGCATGCTCTATGCACATGCACACCCACCCACACATATGCAGTATGAACATGAACACCCACCCAAATGCATACATTACGCACATTCATACACCCACGCACATGTATGCTCTGTGCATGTGCACATATCCACACACGCACAGAATTCAATATCTTTCACATTTGGACTTCTCCTTTCTGGCTATGGGTCGAGGACACCAGCTCCAGCCAATTAGTCCAGGGGTTCCTCTCTACCAGCCACATGGTTGACTCAGACTCTTCACACTGAGGCTGTTACTTACACACCTGACACAACCCACCTCACCAAACGTTTGGCCTTTGCTACCAAAACTCATTTGATGAGTGCTTGGCATTTTGCTGCATCGAGCTGTTAACGTATGATGGGTGAAGCTGTCCTGGGCTGTCTGCTCCATGCTAAGTGCCCTTTTCCGGATCAGTTATGACCTGTAGGGGGAGGGTGTGTGTCGCCTGGCAGAGAGGTGATTCCAGGCATGTCACAGGGAGTGAGTATGCTGGCTAGGTGGGGTCATAGGCCATGTTTTTTATTTTTGCAGAGCACCATTCACCCTTTTGGTGCCACATAACCATTAAATAACTATCATTATTATTATTATAGCCATGGAACTGGCAGAACATTGCAGGTATCCCCCAGGATGGCTCTTTGTCTCCCTCTAGTGGCTGGGCCACTTGTAGAAATTTATGAATCTGCTACTACCTTCAACGCTGTTAACATGGTCTTTTAGCTCCAGGAGTAGTGG